ATCCGTGCCATGGGAGCAAAGGCGTCGTCGAAGTCGACCCCCTCCTGCTGCACGAAACCTCGTGTCACCAAGCGAGCCTTGTGCTTGATGATGGCGCCAGCTTCATCCCTCTTCAGCTTGTACACCCGTGATCGCGCCATGACCGCGAGGAAGGTCAGCAAGCTCCCAGGTGCGGTTCTTCTCAACCGCGTCCATCTCCAACTGCATCGCGGCGCGCCATGCCTCGTGTCTCTCGGCCTCTGCGAACGACCGAGGCTCGCCGTCGTCACATGCAAGGTGCAATGCGCGCCCAGTCCTCTGTGTCGTGAGGCACCGATCCGGCACCAACCCGGTCGCCGAGAAGGTTCTCCATCGTGACGGTACCGCAACGGCTCGCCGTCGTGTATACGCGTCGATCGCGCCTCCTCGTCGTGAGAGAGCGGAGTAGCGAGCTCAAACCGGGGACCGTGCTCGACACAGTGGTGTTGGAGTAGACGTGCCCGGAGAGGTGCCTATCGGTGCTGGAGTGCGTGGCGTTCTTATTGTGGTGAAGCCGTGAAGAACTCATCGCAACCGAGGTCCCGGCCGGAGAGCGTGGTCTTTGTCGAGTAGCAGTAGCGGGGGTCGGTGAAGGCTCGGGGACTGGGGTAGACGCGCTCGCCGAAGAAGAGCCGCCTACTCCCCAGCTCCCTCGAAGTGGGCGTACTCGGCGCGTTGAAGTCGCCGTGACGCGTCGGAGCCGAGCCATCGCTCCACCGCTTGTCCCACGCCCATCTCGCTTCTTCGTCGAACACAACGCCGCGCGCGCCATGCGCACACGCCGTCTTCGGGTCGAGGATGCGGTAGGCCTTGAGCCCTCTGCGTAGCCGATGAACACTCCGAGTGCTCACGTCGTCGAGCTTGGCCGATGTGGCCAAGCTCCTTGGCTAACGCGCGAGCGCACCGAAGACCCGCAAGTGGGGAGACCGCGGCTTGCGCCCATGCCAAGCCTCGACGGCGTCCCCGCCGCCGCGCGCTTTGGTAGGCGGCGGTTGAGGATGAAGACGGCCGTCACCATCGCCTCTCCCGAAGGATGTACCGGCATCCCTCTCGCTTGAGGAGGGCCCGAGCAATCCCCACAACCGTCTGGTTGCGCTGCCGAGGACGCCTGCTCACTGCTGCGGTCAGACTGGCGGTGTGAGTAGTGTGGCGCCGAATGCCCTCATCGGCAACGCAATACGACGAATTCAGCCGCCGTGAATTCGCCGCCGTTGTCGGTGCGCATAACACGCGCAGCTTGGCGCGGCCGCGCTCCGCCTCCTCCAGCGGCTGACTGCGAAGCGCTAATGGCGTCCATGACCTCTCCTTGTCGCCGAGGACCATCACCCACATGTAGCGGGAGAAGTCGTCGACGAGCAAAGCAGGAAGTAGCGTCGTCCTCCGGTGTGGCGGTGTCACCGGGCCACACAAGTCCCGTGCACGCAGCTCGAGCCTCTCCTTGGCTCGAAAAGCCCGCCCATTGGGGAAGGGGAGTCGCCGCGCCGTCAACACGCAGACGTCGCAGAGCTGCTCTACATGGTCGAGGCATGGCGGGCCTCGCACCATCTCCATGGCACTAAGCCGCCTGGGGCCTCGAAGTGAAGGTGCCCGAACGCTCGTGTTATCATCACGCCTCGTCGTCCCGACGAGCGGCGAAACAGAGGGTTGTGCCACCACACGTTAAGGACGTAGAGTCGACGGCGCTCGGATACCTTGGCAAGAAGGCGGCGACGGCGATCCCAAATCCTCATGACTCCATCCTCAACTACCACGCGCACGAACCGTTCTCATCCGGTGTCCCAAGGCGATGATGGAGTTCTCTCAGCGGGGATGTAGTACTTCCGGTGAGCGACCTATGCTCACCGAGACACAGCAGTGAAGATGATGGAGCCGACGCCCTTGATCTCCACGCCGAGGCATCCCCAAACTTAACGGAGCCTCGGACGCTAGAGTCAAGCTTCGGTGAAGAACTCCCGTCGACCGGTCATGTGATGGGTGGCGCGGTGTCGAGGCACCACCCGTCGATCTTTGTCGTTCTGCGAGCTGTCGCCGAGAGGAGGGCGTGCTTTTGGCTCGTCAAGGTGGAGGAGAGCCAGCTGCGGCCGGTGCCGCCGGAGATAGCTTCGATCTTGGCATGTGCCATGAACAGAGCCGGCTCCTCCTCCGCTGCAGGCGACGTGGGCTCTGGCCGCGCCGGGTTGTCGACGATCCTTGGCCCAATGGTTGCCGCGCGCAGATTGCGGCAGTGTCGCTCTCGTCGGGCTTGTGCTGCCGTGGCGGCGGCGCCGCCTGGCGCCTCATGGGCATCACCCTCGGCGACGCCGTCCTCGCGCCCGGCACTGGCGTCTCTGCGCGCTTTGCGCGGTTTGCCACGCTTGCGGCCACTGTCGCGGAAGAAGGCTCCCCCTTCCTCCGGTCACCTTTGGGCCGGCAAGCCACTACTCCCAGTGAGAAGGAGCTTCCTTGATGGTGATAGGCCCCGAGAGGGATCAGGTGGGCATCATCGTTGCCGTCGGCGACCTTGAGGCGACCTATCGCCTCCTCGATCGACGACATCGGAGAGATCCAGCGAGAGACTCGATCGAGCGAGCCATCTGCTTATACTTCTCGGGGACGCAGCGGAAGAGCTTTTCGACGACTCTCTCCTCGCCGTAGGTGTCGCCGCCGAATCGCACCATCTTCTCGCAATAGAGTGTTGAGACGGAGAGCAAAGTCATCAACGTCCCTCACCGGCTTGAAGGCTGTGTTCTCCCACTCCTTGCGAAGTGCTCGTAGTGTGGACTTGCGCGGGCGCGGCCGCCGATGCGATGCGTGCTGCAAACAATGGCGTCCCAAGCCTCCTTGGCGATCCGCTTGGTCGGTAAGCGAGAAGCGCATCTCGGCGGGGCTGCAATGATGAGAGCATCCGGCGCCCGTCGATCTAGGTCGTAGTCGACGTCGCCGCATCGGACCGCCTCCCACATGTGCCGCACCTGAGCTTTACCTCATCACCACGACCCACTCGACGTAGTTGGTCTTGGTGAGGGTAGGCCACCCACCGCCGGGACCGGCGTCCCCGACAACGACTGAGGCCGTGGTAACCACGGCACCGATCCGGAGAGAGAGTCACGCCGCTCTGTGAAGGCGCGCTCTCCATCGACCCGTCGGTACCGATCCGGGGAGAGAGAACCCGCGCGCTGCGGAAGGCGCGCTCTCCATCGACCCGTCCCGCCACCGCTGCGCGGCGCGCCTCCTCCAGAGCGCCGCCGCCGTCGCGCCTCTCGAGCGCGCCGCCGCCAGACGCGCCTCCTCCAGAGCGCCGCCAAGACGTCCGCGCTATGCAGGTGCCGCCGCCGCGCACGCGTGGCGCGTTGCTGCCATGCTTCATTAATGCGCCGTGCTTTCAAGGCCGCTCCTCTCTAGCAGCTCGAGGTCGCGTCGACGGTGTCGTCGCCGAAATGGAGTGCCGATCTTTGCAGCTGAACCTCGACCTCATTGCCCGCCGCCTGCCTTTGCATTCGCCAGATTCGCCGCCGCAGCTGGCCGCTTCCGCTGCTTTGCCGCCGCCTGCGCGCCGCCCGCCACGCCACCGACGCTTGCTTGGCCGCAGCTGCGGCTTCGCTTCGCGTTGCTCTCTGCGCGGCAAGTTCGGCCTCGCCGACGCCAGCGTGTTTCGAGGCGACCGAAGGCCGAGATCGCCTGCATGGACATGACGCGCCTGGGGGCTGCTGCGTGGGGGAGAGGGCTGCTTGACATTTGCTCGTCTGCTGGGGAGTGAGAGAGAGGCGGCGGAGCTGCCGCCTTTCGCACTGGGCTATTGTGTGGCTGGAGGGAGATGAGCGAGGAGATGCTCAAAGCTCTGTGGATAATATCGGCTCGATACAGGTTGTTAGTCATTTGAATTCTCACTCTTGATAGTAGGAGAATTCTTACTCTCATCGAGAGAGGATGACACTAGGAGTTGGGACAATTTTCTTGTCTATTTCTCACACAAACTCACACAAATGCCATACCAACCTGAGGGGTTGGGGTTACATATTTATAGGCCAGTGAAGCATATGCCAAGATGCTAGTCTAAGATGCTAATATGTTGTCCTAGCTAAGATGATGTCCTCTAGTCTAAGATGATGTCCTCTAAGATGTTGTCCTCTAGTCTAAGATGTTGTCCTAAAAACAGAAAAACAGCCACAAGGACCATGTGAGCAGCACAGCCCCACAAAGACCAGCCACACATGAGACTTATCCATCAGAAAGGAATACATGGGAACACATATTTGTCTCTTCAAACAAGCACACCTCGTAAATAAAACAATAACACAACCCGAAAAACAAAGGTTCAAGGAAAATAACCTGGATGGAAGTTAAACAGTGAGCAGCCTTTATTGCTCTAGATGCAAGAACTGTTCCAAATCTATATGGGTGTAACAAAATATTTATTATTGGTCCATTTGCAAACAATAGCTAGATAAAGGTTATCTGATGGAAAAGAACAGCAAGAAGCAAACTAACGTTGCGTCTTCAAGAGAATAAACCCGAAGCTCATATATAATTTGGCGAGACGGAAGGGTGTGCCGAGTTGGTGATGTTCCAGCCCCAGCAGAATCATAATGTTCATGCAATTGAGTTCCATGGTCACCATCTCTGTGTCGCAGCACACATGCAACACAAGCAACCAAAAATCGCCCACAGGGGGAAAAATGGGTACCCATTTCGCTGCAGAAAATTTAACAGAAACTTCAATTAAGTAAATAAGTCTCAAACTTCAGCTGCAATAGAAATCTAGCAAAGATGATAAGTGCTACCCAATATTACCAATGCAGCCAAATGATACAAATTGTAGCTGTTACTGTTTTCTGGCGTAACCAAACATATAGAAGTTGATTGCCAACAACAGTATGTAGCAGTTCAGAATTAGCATGAAAAAGAGTAAAGAATCAGCCTTTTGTGTCTAGTGCATCAAATACGTTATACATTAAGAAGCGGCATCAAAAGATCTAGTTAGTTGTGGTGATGCACAGGAACATTTAGGGGAAAAGAAGGAACATTGGGCACCTGCAAAGTACAGCATGAGGAATTGTCAAGAGGCATGCCTCAGGCCCTAATGCGATAAATGGATTCTTCATGTTGTGACGCCATATTCTTAGCTTCACCGTACAAGGTAATTCGGTGCCACCACCAAGCAGAGACGTAGTTTGTTCTCCCCCAACACTTAATGAGATAGCAGGAGCTTCAGCTTCAGCAGTATGAGTACCCAGAAGGGAACTCCCAATACCAGGTACTGAGGTCATCAGATGATGGCCTGCGGTATCATGTAGCCTTGACCCATCGAAACTGCCAGTAGTGACTGGAACTGATGATGAAGCATCAACCTGCTCAAAATTATGCATGTACGACAGTTCACTAATCAAGTTATCTACCCCAGAACCACCAAGGAGAGGTGTGTCTCTGAAGGAATAATTGCTCAGAAGTGCAGGGGTCATCGTTGAATCTTCAGAATCAAGGTTGTGAACCTGTAAATTGACCTACCCATGAGTTTCATCACAACCAATTAGACTAGGAAAAGTTTGGATGTAGCGGACACAAAAATTGACCTCTGCTGTAAGTAGATATGGCGCACCATGGGGGTGAAACTGCACAGCTCTCAGTGAACGGCGGGTTTTTAGTATGATTGGAGGTTCCAAAGTTTCAAATCGGTTATTACAGTCCCATATAAACAACTGAAAAATGTGTTTATAGTTTGTACATTAGTATATATCATTTTAACAATTAATGGTGAAACAAGTAAATATAGATACAATAGTAAATTCAACACACAGTTCTCACTTTGTGACCTGATGCAACTGCCAGAAGCTCCCCTGTTGCATGAAATGCAATTGATGCAATTGGCCTATCTGTGAAACAAATGTTAATAAAAATTAAAGCGTGTTACTTTAGAAATACCCATAAATAGGGAAAAAGTTATCTATGGCAATTGGCTTGTCAAGGATGATTACAGAAGGGCAGTACTGCAGTGCAGCGAGATGTTTTAGCATCCCAGAGACGAACTTCACAATCCAAACTTCCACTAGCAAGAATATCAGAACGCTGAGGATGGAATCTAACCTGCAACAGAAAACCACCTTAATACATAGATACTCAGAATGGTAGGTCTGTGACAAATGATACTTTTCAAATTGAGAAACAAATCTCTAGTTTCTCTTTATAATGCTTCCCTGAACTAGTAAGTTTGTTGTGAAATGGAAAATATGCAGTGTGTTTTTCAATCTCCAGCAAATGGTGTGTTTCAATTTCCAACAAGCAGTGCGTTTTTGGAGGAAGACGACGACCTCAAAGGGCCCCTTTGCACATTTTTTATATCTATTGGTCATTGTTTGTCAAAATGTATTGTTTTCCTTAATATATACATCAGATCTGAGACACTTATGTCTGTTTTAAAAATATAAATTTAGAAAATATGCAGCATAAAAACATAGATGACAAACTAGTATTGTTTAAACTGTTGATCACTAGAAAACATTACGAACAAATTACTATTTGTGTATCTATTTAGAAGTGGTTTAAGCACATAAGGAAACAAAATACAATAAGAATTACGTCACGTACCACCCATGGAGTGCGCTGATGTCCAAACAGTACATTCAAGCATTTCCCAGTTTGGCAATCAATTATTTTGACAGTATGGTCACCACTGGGGATAAAGCGAAGTTAGTCTAAATGTTCTTTGGTATTTATAGATCATAATTCAGCAAGTTAATTAACCTACTGTGTGGATGCAAGTACTCTCCCATCTGGACTAAATGCAGCTGCAATAGTTGCCTTCGAAGAAGGCAGAAGAGGGCAATATTTGGGAATCCACCAACGCAAGAACTCTGATTCAGCCCTGTAAAAAGAGGGTAAAAAGAGGGTCAAAAAAGGATGACAAAATCGATTAGAAGTAAAGCAAATAGTTTAAGCCTTTATAAAAACAACTCGTAAATATGCATCTTGATTTGGTAAGAAAAAGGGTCACTTACCAAGAAAGGAGATCATGCCGAGCATCGGTGCCCCAAAATTTTAATTCAACAGGACAAGCATCACGTCTTGGAGGTTTGGTCCAAAGATTTTTCGCTTGGTTTTTTGTTTGAGGTGAGAGCTCCCGCTGAGCTAATAGACCAAAAATGTTTCTGGTAATGAGATAGGGGAAATGAGTCACACTCAGCAGATGATTGTTGCCATCAACAGTTAAAAGGAAATTGTTTTGGTAACAGATATAGTTCATTGGTTCTTTTACAAGCAGAACCTCACTCAATTTATCTCCACGGGATAAATCATAGGGCTCAAATCACAATTCGGGATTCTAATGTCCTCGAGGTAATGCAACAGAAGTTTCTATAGCTCAAAATACTAGAAAAAGAAATGATAAGTTATCATCAGTTTTACCTTTGCCTTGTTCTTGGTATTGATGCTTCATGTCTAGAAACTGATTCTGGAGCTGAAGTGCGCTTCCAGTCTTGTATCCGACATTCTGCCATCTCAGAAATTTAACAAATCCCACCTAAAATAATTTAACAGACCAAACAAGACACGACCATAAATGTGGTGTTCATTACACTTACCCTAATATAAATTGTAAAAATTGAGAAATTTGCAGAATGATGGGTTTGGGAAAAAAACATAGAGGATACTAGCACAGATGTCCAAAGCCCTGGTTCCTCAGGGCAGCATATGCTAAGATATTCTTAGCACAGCCAACGGTGACAACATACTGATTCCTGATTTGGAACAATTATCTCATATGCTAAATGAGTGTAATAAAGGCTGAGTTAGCACAGCAGATTACATCATACTGCAACAAAAAATTGTACACTGGTGATGTAGTTTTGTAGTTTTCATCCATGTCCTGTGAATGATTTGTCTCCATGGTCATGTACCTATGCTCTCATATAGATTGATGCACCCTCTTCCACATACATGATCAAATTCAAGGTTCCTTTGTGATCGTTAGGTAGCTAATATGTCATACAACATATATCAAACATAATGACCAGCATGCAATTGATTTATTCTATCAGAACACATGCTAACTGCTAACAGAGATCAAAATACAGGAAGTTTTATTCTCCATCATACTTGCAAGCACGACTCCACGGTGAACTCCGTACAGATGGGAAGGGAAGCTTTCAGCAACGCAAACCAATACAAAATACGGGTACGCCACACGGGACTCGCAGCAAATTCAACGGAAAAATAGGCGGGCATAAGCTAATCCTGATTTGGGGAATTCGGACTGCAGAAGACTCCAACCACGGATCCGGTCGCAGCAGCAAAGCCCATCTACGAGAAAGAAAACTAGTCCCCAACGCAATCCGCCACCCCCCATACTACTACCCTCCGTCCCTCCCCCAGGACAACCGCCTGACCCCGACCCTTTTCCCCCGAGACGAAACGCGGATTGCCTCCGCAGGAATTCTTTGAGGAAGGGAACGCGAATCGCCACGGTCGGCGACGAATCGCGGCGTGGGAATACCTTGGCTTGCGACTTGCGAGGACGGCAGATGCCCAGTGACGGTGGCCCGGGACGCGGGCGCAGCAGCCAGGACGAACGAGCTGGCGTGGGAGGTGGATGGAGGTCCAGCCGCCGCCACCCCCGCCGCTGGCTGGCCAAGGAAAAACCCTGAACGCTCGTTCGTAACGGCAGGAGGCAGGCAGCAACGAAACAGCAGGGAAAACCAAATAGAAGAGGGACAGGGCAGGCGGGCGAGGAGACGAGGAGGAGGAGCGGAAATGTCTCGCACAAGCGGAAACTGCGTGGTGACCCGTTTAATGCGAAAATGTGTCTGCACGCGCATTTGGCACAATTTCTCAAAGTTTTTTTTTATCGATACCAATTTTCCAAGTTTGGAGAACTAGCGTTACTGTTTTTCTATTTTGAAACGTACTATTATAATTCTTTGAAATACGCCTCAGTTTACGGTTGAGTTGGACTTAGACCTAGCATGTGTACGGGACCGTACAGGTATTTTTTTATGGATGATATTGCCCTCAGCTACTCCCCTCTTTCTACTCATTGACGTGTAGGCCCCACTTGTCATCCCCTTCTCTTCTCTCCTTCTCTTACCAATGGTGGCTCTGGCGCACACGGTGGTGGTGGTCGTCATGCAGCGCTCGCATTCCTCCTCCTTGCATTCCTCTCCTTCCCAACGGCTCGGCTTCGCGCTCGCCTGCCTCCTTGCCTTCCTCACCGGCATAGGCGGCGCGCCCCGTGCTGGTGGGTTTAGTCATTGGCACCATGGCGAGACAGAGCTCGCGCACCGCCATGGCAGGCGGAGGTCCCACACATGCCGCGACCGCCGAGGGCATGGGTCTGCTGCAGGTCGAGGGCATGCGCAGTGCTACATATCCAGAAGCAAGCCTCGGACGCGGCTGCCTCCGTTGCTACTCGCGAGGCGTCGCAACGGCTCCACCTCGGCCGTGTCACGCGGCCATGGACGGGTAGACCTCCAGGCGCATGCGCTCCTCCTCCTCGCCGCGTCAGCGGCCTTCCTTTGCCTCGTCGCCGAGATTTGATCGGGGGAGCTCTGAAGCATGCCATCGACGAGAGTGAGCATGGCGATTGGAAAAACAGAGGCGGCGACGACACGTGTTCGCCGCAATTCCGACAAACGAGGCGACGATGTGGCAACGACTGCCCTTGTCCGGTGCGGATTATGTCTAGGAGTACCGTGGCGCGAGGTTGAAGGAGAAGCTGATATGTGGGACCCACACGTCAGCGAGTGTAGGGGAGAGAGAAGCATTATGGGTATTTTGGAACATACGTGAATACACTGGCCTTTAGTCACCTGTGCTTGAGCCCAACGCTGTCAAATACGTAGAAAATGGCATAATTCAAGCTAAAGAAGAATTATAATGGCATATTTCCAAATAGTCAAACAACAATGGTATTTCTCTAAATTTGTAAAATTGTAATGGTACCAATAAAAACCCTTTCTCAAGTGAGCTGAATATGCTCTCACAAAAGATTAGTATATAATGAAAATAAAATCTGGTTGCATTTTTCAACTTCAATTCGCTTTGGTGGGGCAATTCATTCTCTTTCTTCCTATATAAAGTTGTTTTTGTCAAACGGTTTATCAAAACCATTCTAACTTCACGAGTAAAGGTATTTGTTAAGCAGGAAAAGTTATTCGACGAGTCAAGCTGACCTATGCTAAACGGAGCTTTAGAGCATCTCCAAGAGCTTTGAAAGGATCAAGATGCCTAAGAGAAAAATGAATTGGGCTAATTCTAAAATTTTTTGCAATAATTAAACCCTACTGTTAGCCCACTTCACCCCTTGTGCCTAAAAAGTGTTTTTATTGTTCTAACGCACAAAAGTTTAGCAACCTATGTTCTAATCCTACTCTAGCATGATAATTCTATGAATATAAAGACAAGAATTGAATTGCTCAAAGTAAATGCTTAAAGTAAAGAGAGAAGGAGGAACGCGGCGATGTTTTGCCGAGGTATCGGAGAGTCGCCACTCCCCACTAGTCCTCGTTAGAGCATCCGCGTAAGGGTGTAGCTCCCCCTTGATCTGCGCAAGGATCAAGTGCTCTCTACGGGTTGATTCTTCGACACTCCGTCGCGGTGAATCACCCACAACCGCTCACAACTTGAGTTGGGTCATCCACAAGCTCTGTCGGATGATCACCAAGCTCTCAATCACCAACAAGCCATCTAGGTGATGGCGATCACCAAGAGTAACAAGCACGAACTCTCACTTGACCACGACAAGCCTAATGAGAAGGGTGGATGCATACTTTGCTACTCTTACTTCCACTAATGAGGTCTCTTTCTTGGATTCTCAAATCTCAATCACCTCACTAGCACCTTACTCTTCTTAGCACTCTCAAGGGTGTTTCTCAGCTGTTGGAACAAGCAAAAGTGACCCCTTGAGTGAATAGAGGAAGTATTTATAACCCCTCATTCAAAACGAACCATTATGTGGCTCTGCGGGGTGACCGGACCCTCCGGTCAGTTCACCCGCCACTCAGTAGTTTAAGTTGTGACCGGACACTAGCCAGCGTCCGATCAGCACTGACTGGACGTGTCCGGTCACAAAAACTACCTTCTGGAACCTTACTAATGTTGACCGGACTCTAGCACCCAGCGCCCGGTCACTTTGCTGCTCAGCGTCCAATCAACACTGACCGGATGCGTCTGATCAGGATTCTCCCTCTCTGGAACCTTACTGGAGTTGACCGGACTCTGGCACCCAGCGTCCGGTCACTCACCTCTCAACGTCCGGTCGCATCTAGACGACTTCACCTTGATCAAATGAACTGACCAAACTCTATGCCAGCGTCCAGTCACACCGGAACCAGCGTCTAGTCACACCGGAACCAGCGTCCGATCAACATTTGACCCTTCATTCACTTCCAACTCGTAATCATGTGTGAATAAAGTTTGCTCCAATTGATCTAAGGGCTTTTTAGGAGCTACCTAGTGCTAATTTTGACAAGTGTGCACCACACCTAACCCACTAGACTCACCTAGGTCAAGCTACCCGTCCATACCCCCCATTAATAGTATGGCCAAAGGAAAAAACAAAGTCCTAAACTACTCTAAGTGTCTCTTCAACACCAAACGACACTTAGAACTAGTCCATCCTTAACCTTGTCGTCCATTCTTTGAAAACCAAAATGATTTCCATCGTAGGGGCATGACAACCATGATTGCCCAATCAATTATCATTACCATGACCTAACTTAAGTGCATCTGCAAAACACACGTTAGTCACAGTAACCTCGTATTGTCATTAATCACCAAAACCCAACTAGGGGCCTAGATGCTTTTAATCTCTCCCTTTTTAGTGATTGATGACAATACCACCTCAAGTATGTAAAAAAGATGAGGTTTTCAACATGCTTGGATCATATAAGATTTTGACAATAAAAACAAAAGAGTTAGGCAAGCTTATATGACCCAAGCCAACATGATGTACTCAATAAATATGAAATAAGCATGAGTATAAGTAATAAAGCTCATTTGCATCAGAGTAAAACGCGGAAGCAAAGCAAATGAGCATAATCCAAGTGATATGACATATATAAAGATCAAAATAGAGAGCACATATGTCACATATCACATAAATATCACTATCACATTAATATCACACTTACGATCACACTTATGTAGTTCAATGCATAAAGTAAACATGAATACATAATGTATCACACATAAAACTCCAAATGTAAAAATAAGCTAAGCTCCCCCTAGATATGTCGCTCCCCCTAAGTCTAACATACTCGATCCCTCTCCCCCTTTGAGGTCAAACACCAAAACCTAAGGGTCGGTCGGCGGGGCTGCAGCGGACAAGTCGGGCGCTGAGGTGCGAGGAGCGAGCTAGAACTATGTGCCATCATCATATGATCCAGAGCTCTGAGCTGTATGAAACTCTGTAGCTAGAAGCGACGTTGAAGCGGTCTGAGTCGGATCAGGGACTGGTGCGGCCTATGACTCTGCAGGTATGACTGTGGCAGGCGGCTCTAATGATGCAACTGATGAAGGGAGCATCTCTGTAGTCCCCGTAATAGGAGCAACTATGAAAGGACCAGGGACATATAGATATGGCGGAGTAGGCTGCCCTGTCAACTCACTGAATGTCGCAACGAGGCTCCTGGAGACTGAGGTATCTGGCACAAGCAATGAGGTAGTCTGAGCCGGTGTGAAGCCCATCTGAAGAGGTGTGAACTGTGGGGCTGGCACTTGCGAGGCAAACCACTAGGACACCTGCTTTGTAGGTGAAGGGAACTATGCTGCTGCCTGTCCCTGACTCTGAAGCCCACTAGGCTGTAAAGCTGGAGTTATAGAAGTGGTGGCAGGCTGATCAATCTGGGGTGAAGGCTGTGGTGGTGGAGCCCCAATAGCTATCATAATATGCTGCATAAACCCAAGTAGCTGCTGCTGAATAAGAAGCTGCTACTGTTGCATGGCCTGCTGCTATTGCTGACGCTGAAACTCATCATGTCTAGCATAAACCTGTGCTAGAGCAGCGGCTGTCTCCTAGGCCTAGCGAGCCTGATCCTACCTCATCCGCTCAAGGATAGCAAGTAGAGCGGGATCTATTTGTGGTGCTGGTGGAGCTGAACTGGAGCTACCGGCCTCATGGTCATATCGTCGTGGAGGCATCTGAGGGACATCCTAATAGTCGTCATCTGAGCTATCACCGGGGTCACTCTCGACCATCCCCTCTTGCTGAGCATCAAGCTGCTCCTTCTATAGCTGCAATGCCTTGATAGTCTCATCCTGCTAGGCTGCAGTCTCTGGCACCTCTAGGCGATGCCGTGGCTGGCTAGGTGCATGTGGCCTGCTATGACGGAGCATCTGGGTCAAGTTATATGTAGGAAACTCAGTAGTAACACCAGAATACTCTGCCACCATCTTAGGAGGCCTCACTGTCACTGCCCTGCGAATCAGAAAAGTAATCCAGTGTGCATAGGGCAGCTGTCTGTGTCCTCTGAATCCCTCTGCAAGGGTATCCTCTATCTCAGAGAGTATGACATCCTAAACATCAAAGACAGTCTGCTGCATCAGGGCATTCAGTAGCCATAACTAAATGCGAGTCAAGCCCTTGCGATATCCCATCCTCGGAAGCAGGGTCCTCCTCATGATAGCATCTAGCAATCTGGCTGTAGGAGTAAGATCCCTGGGAGTCCTGCTCGACCCCTCGCCGAATGGCTCAGTGAAGCACTGGCGGACTAGATCCGTGGGAGGCACAAGACCACCGTGAGGGCGTCTAGGAGGCTCTGTGTGTCCATAGCAAACCTCATGTATATGGATGGGTGAATCCTATAGCCTGAGTATCTCTCTGACCCTGAAGCTCATCAGCCTATAATCCTGGCCTTTGAATGCAAAGTGAATAAATCTATGGCCCCGGTCAATCCAAAGTGTAGCATAGAACTCTCGGACCCAAGATGGAACGTATCTGCTTGTCCATCCAAGTAGATCTATCAGCCTTGGCAGGTAGGAAAGGTGAGGATGAATCTGCTCTCCAGCTGCTGCTACTATGGCCTCAATAGAGCAGACCCTCTGAGACCTGAATACAACCCCACTGTTAAGATATGCATTATAAAAATCTTCCTACAGTGGTGTGTAGAACCTCTTAGAAGCACGCTCATCCCTCCTAGGTGGGAACCACTCCTCAAACTGTAAAATCTGAGCTGATGCACCTGTTTGACCATGGTGGCCCTCAAATCCAAGTGAGTCACTAAAGGCGGACCTATGGTCTAGGAGGTGGATGAGAACCCCTCCGCTGTGTCTCTGTCCTCAGTGTTACC